CACTGGTAGATCATCGTTGCAGCACACGTGTAGTCCGACAATGTTTGAGATCTCGACCGAATCTCGAAGGTGTCTAACTTTAACTTCATAGTCACCGTCTTCCCCTGAATTGGTTGAAAGGAATACGTTGGTTGAAAATCATATTTAGTGAAACCCTTTTCGCCAGTCAACAGGAACCTCATTTTTATTGTTTGGTTTATGGAATTACCGTAATGGTATACCTTCGCAAAGCATTCTAACCGGTCGATTTTATCTTGTTATAGTGATTATTTAAAATTACCTTATTTTACTCGATGTGGTAGTAGCCATTCAGATTGCATTACTACATTATCCATCCTGATTTTGCTTAGACGAAAACAGGCTGTGCGGCAATACCCACTTTCAGACATTAATTTGTTTTTTTTGAGAGCCATAAAATGATGACTTGTGTTTTGTTTGATTTAATGATTATCAGCTTATTTTCCTGGTGTCAGTAACACGATGGCGTTGTTCTATATAGAAGTCTCTTGTGTATTTCGTAATTTTTTTTTCTATTTTCTGTTATATTCAGGCTTTGATTATTGATGACTTTCAAACCATTTCATCAAAATTGACCTCAACTTTTTTATACTTTGCATCTTGAATCATTTTTATGGTCCAGGCCCTTTTGAAAGCATTGTGCCTCCGTATACGGAAGCTCATGCTACTTTATAGTGCAAGTGCCTTTACTTTGCGTTTTTATTACAAGTCATCCACGTTGGTCTTATAAGCTTTTTATCCTTATTCAGTAGGGTTTTAATTCGTGTTAGCTCCTCAATGAGCATGTTTACACATTACTGATAGCCACTTTTTGATGTTGAGCAGAATCCAGTTCGCCTCGAAAATGTTGTTTCATCGTCAGTTACACCGTCCATTAATACGATTCTATGGAGAATATTAACTCTAATGTTAAATGTCAGTTTTCCGCGCAGTAAAGGAATAATCAAATATCAGTTTCTTTTAATACATTTTACACATGATTTCGTGTGGTATCAGTTAGACGTGGCGCAAGTTCCACTTGTTTTCTACGATCCAAGTTTGTTGATTATTTAACACGAATAGCTGTGTGGTGAACACCTGAAACACTTTTGCACATTTGACTTGGGAACCGCCTTCAAAAAGAAATCCGTGGAAAGCTTGGCTAATCCACGACGCTTATTTTTTTAATACCTACAGTAGCAAGTATCTAGAAGTGCTGCCGACAGCCTAGGCTACGGTGACTGTCAAATGCACTTGGCTGTGCACGCGTCTTGTCGTGCTCCACGAGGCGCTCTCCACAATCACGCACACGCTTCCACCTCATGAGAAGGCATTTGTTGTCTTTAGTGAACACTCAGGCGTTTGGCGTGTGCACTCTTCCAGCGATACCCAAGATAAATGTTTTTTTTCTGTATTCTGTAAACTTCGGTCATCGTCTTTTCGAAACTGAATTCGCTCTATTGCTGTTGTTTGGGTGGCAAACCTTCGCCTCTCGTAAGAAGGTTTGCCTCGTGTCTCCTAGATAAATTCTTCCGAAAACACATATAATTTTCCCGTTTACAAAGCTGCCAGTTTGCGTCTGTAAGAATCAGAACCTCCACGCCTCCTACAATAAGTGTTCGGTTCTACAAAAGGAACCATCAAGTGTTAAATAACAAGATCCATAATCTTTACTGAAAGCCAATTTTTTACGAATAGTTTTGTTCTCAAAAGTCATTATCAACGCGGTCTATACTTTGGCCTTCGAGTATTCATTTGCCATGATCGACTCTTTCTCTGATCACCCCAGAGAATGGCTTTTGTTCATTCTTGAGGGTCACGGGCCGCTCTCCTGTGTGGTAACAGGCAAATGTCCTGGACTCCACAAATGCAGGTCAAAGTTGTCGCCAAAAACCATCTTTATGCCGATTAAAACTTGGCAATTTTTTGGGCTGTGTCAGGGCACAAAAAAGCTAAGCATTCATTTTACTGGCTTGTTCCCTTAGGAACAAACTGAACTTATTTGCTTGGAAGCCAAGCTGCCCTTTTCGTGTCTTAAAGGCGGCATTTTCGTCTGGACGTCCACCCTACACATGATGCGATGAATTTGAAGCAAAAACAATCGCCTGGAGCACTAACTCAGTTTTACTTTCAAGAACAATTTTAATGGCGGTACCCAACAACACATCGGCGAAATGCGTAAATGGTAAAAACCGATTAACTATGGTAACCAATTTGTCAGTAGTAGTAGTAGTAGTAGTAGCGAGATTTCACAATGTTGGTTGTTCCATAATACCAAGCTTAAAATAGTTTATCTTGCCTTCAAGAGGGCTTCATCAGCGTTCATACTATTAAACCAGTGCACTTATGATGTGGGTAAGTCCATGGTCACGTAATTTGGATTTCCGCTACGACCCTTTTCAGCCGACTTGATTACTTGTTACTCACCCACAAAAGTACCAGTATGCACGTTGTTTGTCGACTTGTATCTGAATCGACTAAACATCTTAATAGCCGTACATGGTTTAATTAAGTGATCTGCATATTCACCAAGTTACAAAGGCGCTGATTGCATTCCTTTAGGATTTTGAACCGTAACACAGTACTCAGGTCGGTGGAAACTAGAAAGTGCACTCTTTTGACTTTCCTGATATGTTTTCTAGTTTTTTTTTAAAAAATTATGGACGCCAAAGTGCACTTTTATTTCCTTCACTCTCACGGAGTTAATGATCAGAAAATAACTTCCAATCCCTAGGGCCCGCCAAGTTGCCAGCACAGAAATAAAGTGCGCACACAAGCACTTCCACAAATTCCATTCCCAAACAAGTTAATCTTTTGGTTGCATCGATTTTTCATAATTTTCTGCTAGACGAATAATGTACAGTTTTCAAACAACCCAATGTTGGTTGCTTGACCATTGCTTTAAGTGATCTTTATGTTGCCTTCGCCTGCTCTTTGACAGGCACTACTTTAAGCGTCAAATATGATGTTGTTTGTGTACTGTCAAAGCCACAGTGTTCGTTTCAAAGTTCCCCAATTTTTTTTACCTTCATCAATACTTTATAATGTTAGCGTTATAGTTAATAAAAACAGCCTTTTCCCTTTTACCATGAATTAAGGAAATTATTTGCTTTCCTATCTGTTACATGTTGTAGTCGACGAGCAATTACCTGGCGCGCCGGTATGGTGTACGCGCAGCCATGCCTGGCTTTCTGGGCAAAAAACTCTGTCCCCAGCTAACCATCGTATCGCCGGACTTTGTCAAATACGCTGAAGTCAGTCGCACTGTGCGCAGAATTCTGGTCGAGTACTGCGATGGGGGAGCCTCCGGAATGGTCACGATGAGTCTCGATGAGGCTTACCTGAACATCACCCAGCACTTGAATGACCGCGCTGACTGGCCCAAGGACCGACGCACGTATTGGCCGCGTGCTGCACCAAAGACGCCCATGCTCGTCTGCCGGCGAGTTGTTTGTTCTTCTTTTCAATTATTGTATTCAGGCGTTGCATATGCTTTTGCCTCAAAATTTAATAGTGCTCTCATGGAGCTGTTCTATTGAACCCCTGTACTTCCCACTATCAATTCAGAGGCCCATTAATATCAAAGCAGTCTTAATATAGTTGTTTGATTCTGGTTATTAGGTTTTTCGTGTGGGATTATGATTAGGATCATGATCCTGACGAAGCCAAATATTACCAAAGGAGCCCTACAACTTGCAGAAATATTGAGTTGCATCGATGTTAACTCCTTCATTTAGGGTGTTCCACTGCGTCTAATGTTTTGGTGTTTTCCTTTTCCCTTACTCAGACATTAAAATGTTTGCATTATACACGTAATACGACTTGTTTTCTTTAATTATTTACCTCTTACTGCCAACAGGTAGCCAAACATTTCTGATCGAACATGTAATCATTAAGAAATGGATTTAAAAGTGATAATTATGAATTTTGAGTTTAATCGTTAATGGCATCGTGACTTCCGCTTTGCGTCTCTGTTTAGTTGCTCTAAGACGTCAAACGACCCACTGCTCACCGACCTTCTCGCAACTTCCTCAGCTTCCAATTCCCCCACCAAGCAGCCAACGCCTGGTGCCAACACCACCAACTGCCCCTCCCACATCGTCCCCCTGGTTGTTGGAAAAGACGAAGAACTAGCTACCTGTCTGATATGCGGGCTACTAGTCAAATCAGGTCCGCGCGTTTTCGGCACGAGTGCGGAAGAAGCGGTTCGTGAGTTGAGATTCCGAGTGTTTTGCGCGACTCGACTCACTTGCAGTGCCGGTTAGTCTTGTGTAGAAATAACAAAATGCCCCATCTCCAGGGTCTCTGAATGTGTTTACCTAAAGCGACACTACCCGTCCTCATGTGCACCTCACGTAACCTTTAAGTGGGTCTTAGTAATTTGGTAGAATCAAATTTCATGCTCTCTGGGCGCTGAAAATTGAGTGTTTTGTTCATCTAAACTCATCCACCATGTAGTCCCATCCGATCTGGTCTTTCAGTCTGTTTATTCTAATTACCTTATTCGTAAACTTATTCCAGCAATGTGACTTCTCACATATTGCTATCCGTGAGCCAGATTCTTATTTTCAGTCATGAAATTTGCCAAAAACTTCTATCACCGATAAAATACTGAGTTATTGAGTTATAATTTCATAAATCCCACCAATAGCATTGCTTTTTATTCAGCTTAACGGAGATGGGAACTGCTGCTGAAGTGAATAAGGTTTAATCAATTCGCGGCTTCCGGACAAGTGTTTAACTGGGTTAAGGAAGGACTGATGCCCTGAATTTATAAGTCCACTGCGTTTTCCATGATTCCACTTTTTTGTAAAGTATACTTTAATCGTTCTTTTTTTGTGTGTGTTTTGATCCATGTACCTATAACATTTGTGCTTACAAGATCGCTAGCCTATGGCTATTTGTGTGTCTAACACTGATTTTGAAATTATCTTTTCTTTTACTGCGGCCGTCTGTTACTATTGCACAGTTGCTATGGTTCTTGTGTTTGCTTGTCATGCCAAAATTCTTGAAGCACTATTTATTGGTCCCTGGGGCGATTTTCCTTTTAACTACCCCGATTCGGTGTCTAGGGTTTTGCTTCAACAAAATCACCACGGCGTGGATTTTGGCAACAGTTTCTAATCGAATGAGACTAAATGGCAGGTTGACCTGAGTATTACTACTCAAGCAGAAGCTGGTATATGTATAAGCATGGTTTCGTTTAGTTTAAAGGTCGTACACGGTATTCTGTCAGTGGCTGTCAGCCTTGGTAATTATAGTTGAGGTCAATTATATTAATTTTTGCACGTTTTGAGTGGCAACGGATTTTCCTCATTTCGTATAGCATTCTTACGAAAACTCTCGTCAATTACTTTCAATTCTTGAGTTACCAAAGGCAATCTAGTGACACAGCGATTAAACAGATCTACCAGGTTGTCCGACAGGAATTTTGTGGTATGCTGCGTGCGCGCTTCTTATGTGCAAGCCCTGTGTACTAATCGAAAGTTTCCCATCGAGTGGTTGTGTTTCACACACTGAGAGCGAATTCTGCTAGTGGTTAACAAGTGATTGTACTTCAAAAAGATGTAAATATTTGTATTTTCACAATTGTGCTTTCTCGTTCATTTCGTTCTTTTTAAATGATGACCTCTCGCCAAGTGGAATTTCATGCCGTAGGATTGCGAGTCTTCAAGGCCGGTCTGTGGTATTAACGTCAGGCTCCTAATCATTTATCTGTGTGTTTTCAAATTGTCTTTGTTCTTCTCTGTAGTTTAACTTCACATAACTTTATGCTTAAACACTTTTTCTTCGTGAAATTCCAACTAACGCTCAACCTTGAATTATCCCTTATGCTGCCCTATGGGATCTTGTAGGCGCCTAAAATTGTTTTTAGTTTTAACGGTCCATTTACGCAGTTCTCATCACGGTCAACACAAATCGCTAAGTTGCATCGGCACCATTAGGAGTAAAGCGATGATGACAATTGGTCATGTCATAGGATAAGTGTAGATGACGTTCCATGTAAGCCTTAGCGAACTCGGGGGCAAACTTAACATCGCAACTAGTTGGTCATGCATTTTTTCATTAACCAGATGGCTAAAACTGTTCCTGATCTGGCTAAATCGTCTACCAATCCGGTGCTGATGCGATGGGAAACGATAATTTCTTTTCAGGCAAGCAAAGCAAATTCAATGCATTCTACAAACCAAACGACACTCATTGGGAGTGTAAAACCATTTGAAGGTGTTTGGTGTCGGTCTTTCGCTCATCTTGAGATGTGACTAGCGTTTGGCCTTTTGCCTCTAGTTCCTTTGATCACTTGTAAACAGTGGTGAGGCTTTTTACAAGGTTATCAATAGGCACGAAGGCTGAATTGCTCTCGGCTTTGTGTTGGTGGATCGACATCACTTAGTGTCGATGCACCAAGTGTTGCGTACAACCAGCGTAGATCAGTTATTTTTTTTGTCATGACTGTGTGACTGATACTGTGACTCACGTCCAGTCATACGACTTGTGCTAAACCCCTAAAGTTTGGTGCATAGGCAGTTAGTGTGCATCAGATTTTTGTGTTGCATACTAAAGAAGGCAGAATGTTGCCTCTTGAAACGAATCAAAATGATAGCCCTTGGGTAGCCTTGATAATAAAGGCTTTGAAGCGTGCCAACCCTTTTTAATGTTCTCTGGGATAGCTGCTAGAGACTTTAATGATGATGGGAAGGTTTTTGAGACCTATTTTGTGCTGAAAGTCGCACTTATGGTGGTTTTGCACCAGTGTTTCATATTTCCCAGTAATTTTTGTGTGCATTTTTCTGTAAACTTGATGAAGCATGCTACAATACTATACTGGTGAATATATATGAGTGCTATGTGCTTAAATTTTCTGCAACACAAAGACAGTGTCGTGGAAGCGTCCGGAAACCCCTGAGATTAAAGGTTAGATCACTTTCTGAGAGGCACTTGGCCCAGCCAACTGGGACTTGTGCACTTGAACTCAAACCCGCTTGTCGCGTGGCTAAAGTTGAATAATTTTGATCGAAACGGTAGTGTAATCGGATGTCGTCAGTCGAGAGTATTTCTTACCTAAAATCAGGATCATATTTGTCAGTGTTGTAGTTGTGAAAAAGCAAAAATTCGATGAATGGGACGGTACACTAATAATAATAATAATAATAATAACGTAATAGTAATGAAGTTCGATATTTCCTAGAAGATGGGTCTGCCCTTCCGTAGTTGGAAGCGTCAAAAAACACTAGGCTGAAGCCACTGTATACCAACTGCACATTAATACCTTTTGATACATAAAATTGATGCCTCAGCAGACTGCTTTTCCCAAAGTCGTCTTGTGGAAATATGAATCAATCACATCATAAAGAAACTGCTAATACGAAAATTTTTCATTCGCATTTTGTTTGGACCCTCCCAGACTACATGTTGCAACCCTGGACTGTTCTTTCGATTTCGTAGGAATCGCCCCCAACTCGCTCATCGCCAAGATCGCATCCGATTTGAACAAACCAAATGGACAATTTGCTGTTGAACGCACAGCCGAGGAGGTTGACGCAGCTATCTCTCCCTTACCCATTAGAAAGGCAAGTCGTCATGCCATGTCGTTCTATTAACTTATGAGGTTGAACTTAGGTCTTACTCTTACTTCCTTGGAGTTGGCTTCGTGATCTCATCACTTACAATTGGCAAAACGCCAAATCTAATAATCTTTTGACAGGCATCTTTTATTTTCAACTCAAAATCCACTTGCTGGTTATTAAATGCGTTGTTTTCAAGTCTTTATGGTAGGCGCTGTCAAATATTTTGGCAACTGATTCTTTACGCATTGGTAAAATATATGTGTACTTTGTTTTGGTGAAGGAGCCAAGCACGTGTCATGAGTGAACTTTCTAAGAGTGCATTTAACAATGTTGTCGGGGTCGGGTCAATCTAATTTCTGAATTTCCTCTCTGCCGCATCAAAGTCTGTTCAGACTTTGCACCAGAACACACACCCATCTTTACATAACTGATCGTTTTTCCTTGTCTATCAAACACAACTTATTCTAACTCTCTTCACGACAAAAATTGCCTCTGGATTGTTTTTTGCTAGCGTCTTGTGTCGAGTCCTGGACTGAGAATAAATTTGATCATGGACTTGATAAGTAAGTTGACGAATTAAAAGCTCTTTTCCCACACTGCTATTATGCATTTGTGCGCCTAAATATTTTTAGGGTACCCATCCCATTCTAAACCTTGACTGTGTGTTTTGCAGGTTCCTGGGATAGGCCACGTGACCGAATGTCGTCTACGCGCCTTCGGAGTTCAGACTGTCCACGACCTCTATCTCCGCCGCGGAATCCTCTTCCATTTAGTCTCGCCGACCGCCCTCAAGTACTACATGCGAATCACCTTGGGTCACAGTGAGGATGACTGGCTTGATCCAGATAGCAACGCTGCCAGCGGCGACCCTCAGAATGCCTGCCAGAAAAGCATGAGCATTGAACGGTATGTGTAGGGTTATTCCCCAACTGCTTAATCCATCACGTAAATGTTTACCTACTTTCCTATTCAAACAGAAGAAAATGCCACAAGATCATGCAACTGTTGTCCGTTCAATATCTAATTTTTCCTGATTTTCGATCATAATACTCTTAGATTACACATTTTCTCCCCCGTTATAGTTTAATGGTTTTTACAAAGGAAATACGGACAAATTCAACCCATTGAAATTGTCTCTCTTGTTTTCTGATTGTAGCTTTCTTTGTATTTATTGTTAAAGACTCGACGTGCACTTTAGATGCGATCATTTTGCTGTCCCCGACTAATCTCCCAAAAATGTTGACGAAGCGTTGTTATAAAGGCAGCCACTTGACGAGAATTCTCTTCATCATTAGAGCCCACCTCCAATACGAAAATACCCTTTAGAATTTTTCCTTTACTTAATTGCTTTGACAGGAAATTGTGACGGTGAAACCATATTCTGGCGTTTCTGGTAATTCGTCGTAAGAAAAACCCCGTCTTATTCCTGGCTACATGAAGTAGTTTATTGGGAGGCTTTTTTCTAGCGCCAAAGTTTTGGCCCTGATGTCTCTGACCTGCGCAAGGAAACCGGTTAGCAAAAATGTAGAACTCGCATATGTATGGGGTATTTGTTTACAGCTGCAGGTAAAAAACTTCATCGTATGGGTGTCCATTGCCACAATCAACGCGTGTTCTAAATACAGGTGCAGCGTGAATAACACTTTCAGACAGTGCGTGCTCCCGAGGTTTTATGCTAATACGCTACCTCGCTGGCGTTTGTACCTAGCGGTGTGCAGTTTACTACACTGCTTAAATGTGAATTTATCCATATTTATTGTTGAGCAGAGTATAACGCTCCTGTCCGTGAATGAGTACTGTATGCGTTCAAACATTGGATTCGGTACGCTCGAAGTATTTCCGAAATCTCTGAAAGACACTAACCTATTTCGTTCCTGCTATTTTTCTCACGCTTGCAAGTGGAAAAATTACTTGGCTATCCTCACCTAATTATCCTCTAGCACACGATTTTATCCTCCAAATCATATAACGAGGCTGGTTTAGGCCATGAAATGACGTCACCACAAAGTTAAATCTCTTTGTTCAGTTACACTTAACAACTTCACTCCCTCCCAATTCTCTTCGATCACTTGTAAAGTGTCAGCACATAAATTTGCATTATGGTGGATGCTCAACCAGCAGGCTTCGGCGTGATCGCGGTAGATGTGTCAAGTCAATTGCAATACCACTCCTGCCATCCATGAATCGGTCTTCGTCGTAGTTGGCTGTTTTTGGCACTCCTACAGAGGCAAATTTCAGTGTATATAGTTTCCAAAGTTTTGAAGTTACCTCTTTCCAGCCTTATTATTCAAGTTGTTTTCTAGTCTAAATTCATCGAATAAGGGTTTCTACCCATGAACACTCGACATTATCCAAAATTCCTGGGTACATGAAAGGATCCAATTGCTCAAATTAATCCGTCTCTGTAACTAAAAATGAGACAATCAATAAAATACACGTGTAATATGCGGAGTGCATCTGGGACACATGTTCAGTTTGCTTTTCTTAAAATCTCAAGATAGTCATTTTTGCACAAAAAGACTGCTTAGTACTGTTTTGTAGAAGTTTATTATAAAACTCAGATCATAATAAAAGTAAGGTATTCGAGGTAACCACGTGTCCTAGCAGTCAGTCATATTGCCGTACCTGTCTATGAGTTTGTGCAAACATCGCGTGTGATTATTTAGCACTTACATATTTCGATTTCTGAATGGGCACATTGCCTCGCAATATATGTCCACGTGGACAACGAGGCAAATAATTCACCTTTCTGAAAAATGTTTTTTATTAAAATGACAAATCCAGCACTGTTGAGTTTGTCATTACTCAAACAAAAAATCCGTGGCCATCCGGTCCATAAGGTTCCTTAAATGATGAAGTTCACAGACCTGCTTAGCCACCATTGGATATTTTTGACCAAAAATGGCCCTTTGCTAGAGGTTAATATTGAGATACCAAAATCTGACCTCGTCCACTTCTCTGAAACGAAACTGGGCGTTCTACAAACTCTTTGGCTAATTGTAAGCTTTCTAGATGGTTCCTAGTTAAGCGAAACCTATTGATGGCCTGCTCCCATTGAAATCCGGCGTTTATGCTTGTATGCTTTGTCCAATAGAGGCCTGTGTGAACTGAGGGCGGACCTATTTGTATGGCCCCAGTGGTTTGGAATGTTTCCTTACCAAGTCAAATGATATTGGGCTATCTTTTTTTCGCGGTTTTTTTCAGTTTTTTACTTCTCATCGATTTCTGGATAATATCACACCACAATCAGTCGTGGAAATTGTGAGCTGGGAAACGTTCAACAATCCCTCCATTGCCTTTACCCTCACTCCTGTTTTGCATAGTTTGGGGTTGTAGTTTGTGACCAAGGAAACTTATTTAACTAGACACTTGGGTCTTCATTTCTCATGAGTGAATTTGGGGCCAAGCTGTGCATTTTTTACAACTTTAACTTCCCATTTATTGAGATGGCGCCATGGTTCAGTTGTGTCTAGGAAAACAAAAATACGGTTAACGCCATTTATCGAGCAACTATTTATCAAGACTGTTGGTGGGTTAAATTTGCTACTAGTAGGTTATTTCTAAGTGTTTCTTTGTGATTGTTTAATACTGCACAAAATTATAGCTAATTTACACAATTGTAATCTCAGATTTTATTTTAATCAACTTGCCTCGTGATTTTTTTATGTTGATTTCTTAATTACTAGTTGTTCCTTATACTTTATGTGTAGGTATACGTTATAATGCTTAATAGATTTTCGAAAGTTTGTGAGACCTACTAGCAAAATCTTAGCATCTTTATCAAGGCTAATACCGATCGAAGAAAGCCTGTTTGAAGGTACTTGTGTTTTAGCAGGTTTGCCCCAAATGGCTGCTTAGGCAGTTGACTTCCACAATTCTCAATTGGCCTTCTTCCCGATTTTATATGTTGCCAACAATTGCTTACATTTCATTTTCTAAAGCATCCATTTGGTGTTCACGATTTTTGACCCGTGCCCCCTTGTAATAGGCTGCTTTCTGTTTTCCTTTGAGCCCGCGCCACCGTGTGCGACCGCAAGGCTCTTCCCCCGTCACACTCCTCTTTTTTGCGCGCTATTTATCAGGCGACGATCCCTGGTTTGGCTAACTGAAGTAACTTGGCTTCGAATTTAAGCAGAATTGCTATGATGTAATGGTTACAATGATTTTTCGAACGTTTAACTCCGGTGCCCTTTATTAGATGGGGGGAGGTATTTTCATTTATTAATTCAAATTAACTGATCCGTACTAAAATCTGTACATCGTCTTCTTTACAAATCTTTAGGACCTTCCAAGATTGTGATGATCGGCAAATTCTTCAATCGAAATGCAAACAACTATGTTTTTCCCTCGCCACTGAAATGAAGGAAGCGCATGTTCAGGTAGTTTTTTTTGCCTTTTTTTATTTTAATTCAGAAGCTATGGATGGATATCGATTCACGCAAATAGCATTTTGACTGGGTCTGGTCTGCGGTCCCCAGAACAAGGGTGGGAGGCGTTTGTTGCCAGGCTGTCTCGAATCACTTGGTGCGATATCCACGATCCCGTCTAGTGGATTTGGGTTTGTGTCCTAATGCCCACTGAGGTTATCCGAACGAGATGGAAAATCTTGCGCATATCTGCGTTCTTACAACAAAATTCTAGCTTTTTGCTGTCGTACTAATTGATCGTCTTAACATTTTCCCACCACCAGAAGTGGCACTGGGTGCTTCAAACGTAGACATTTATATCATTTCCCTGCGAATTGCTAATTCCACATCCGAATATATTTTAGTGTAGTCTCCGAATTAAACAAGCATTTAGCTTTTTTCCTGACCCTCACGAGGGTCTGGTATAACAATTTGTCAGATTAAATTTGGCAAAAATGCCTCTGGCTTCTTAAGACCACTGTTTCGGGCAATTGACAAAACGATGTTGCAGCACACTACGACACTAAGTATCCAACAGGGCTTGAGACGGCAGAGCGGCAGATAGGCATCAGTTTCTTCGAGAGCTCGACCATGTTGTCGTCAGTGTGTGCCCGTGACTATGTCTTGTGGAGTCAAGTCCAGTCGTGTCGAGTCATCTGTGGCATTCGCCTGTGTGTATTTATAACTCAGAAGTGTAAAACAGCGTAAGTCACAGATGTAATAACATTGAGACTTAGGTGATTGTTTTCATGCGTGGTGATAATCCCGGATTCCCGTTTGCGATAATGAGGTGCGAGTTGAAGTTCCACTCGGCTGACGGCACGCTGTGAAAAAGAAGCAGTGCGTCGGAGGGCGGCGCGATCGGATTAACGTGTGTGAATCGACACGATTCATAACAATGATTAGAACCTTGTTGAATTGGTCAATGTTGAAGGCTACTCAGTGCACTACTTACTATGGTGTTATTACCTACGTCCGCAATCCATTGCCTCTCTTGTTCATGGTCGAAGACAAACAAGGACTCCTGACCTTAACTTTTAAGCGATTTACGCTGGTTCGGCAGCTTTATCATTTCCCAAATATTTGCGATTTTCCGTATCTCGGATCGTACCCATTGTTTGTTTCATTTGGTTTGGAAGAGAATATAGAATGAAAATCGGCAACATCACATGCAAACGAGGACTGCTCTCCTCTGACTGTAATTGTTGGACTTCGTGCGGCGTGTCAATTCTTGCATTTAGTAGATAGGATTGGGCTTGTATGCATGTGTGATTGTGGTGCTTCGGCATTTGCAAATATCGGTTTTCATGGAAACGAATTAAATTTTGGATCAGATTTGTAGATGGCATCATCTGCAGCAACCTAACGTCGCTGCCGCTGCAATTTTTCCTGGAATTATTAATGTTGGAGTGACAGCATATTTGCCTGCGAAAATTATTGCACAATTCTTGTGTTAATGTTTCATGGTAATTGAATTGGTGTTTTCGTGCTGCCTAAAAAACACGTTTCAGTCCCTTGACACCACTCTTGTGCTTCCTCTAACTTTATGCAACCCCCCCCCCAGGTACGTATTTTTAATTTCGTCAACATGCGATATTGCACAAATACATGTAAGATCAGGGGCCCTGTATGGCGTTTCTTTATAAACGTTGTTTCAGTAAGCCAGGTTTTTTGGCTGACGCTAGGTATATGTTTGAGTCTCCGCTGGCGTGGCGTTTTCCACTTGGCGATTATCGGCTCCCCTCCGAACTCTTACAGCCCCAAACACATTTCTAAGCTTAGAGAGGGGTCTTCGTTCAGAATAAGTAAACTTTTTGTCATTTGTCTTGTGGCACCCAACTTCCGAAGGAACGGAGAACCACCGATGCACTCAGAATTTAGTTGATGTGTACATCTAGTGGAAAGGCTCCATGTCTTGCATACTTATAATTCCGTGTAGTAGTTTATGAAGGTCGTACTTAAACACTAATCACCGCCTAAATTGTTGCCTAAAGCACACGTTAGCAGACTGTATCATCCTTGAGAGCATCATCTCCAGACTCGCACTATTGTGGTCTTTTATCTTTAAATATTCCCAAGTCACAGTTGCGTGCCAAGGGTATGATTGCTACCTTCATCGTAGTTGTTGGAAGTAATTCTGGTGGATTTTAACTTTGAGTAGACCAAATTTTTGAGGGCAACAAAATCAAATTAACATCGGTTGCTTATGTCATTATGATATGCATTTTATTGGAATCGTTTTGCAAAATCAAAATGAAATTTCAACAATAGTTTATAAATATTTTTTTGCGAAACGTCTCCCAATTTTGTACTGACACTCGGCACTGTCACGGAAACACCTGGTCCTAATTCCAAATTCTGGTTCGTTTCTTTATAGGGCTACCAATGCAAGTGGAATTTGTAAATTTACTTTGTATCTGATATGGTGGCATTGGACTGTTTAACCGTCGGTGTTGTATCGTTGTGTTGGCGTTAATAAAAATGACATTTAATGAATTTTTATTTTAATAACAGAGAACAAGCTCTTTTTGACATCTGTATGCTCAGACCTTGGTTACCCTTAGATAAAGTAAGATATAGACTCTAAGGTGGTTAATTAAGTGTTCCCATAAGTTTATTATTTCTCCACACACTCAAGGTGTCTGTCAACCAACGTATTCCTTTCAACCAATTCAGGGGAAGACGGTGACTATGAAGTTCAAGTTAGACACCTTCGAGATTCGGTCGAGATCTCAAACATTGTCGGACTACACGTGTGCTGCAACGATGATCTACCAGTGTGCCTCCGAAATCTTGAAGACGGAAATCAAGAGTGAGCTGACGACGAACGCGAGGAACCTCACTCTCCGACTGATGGGTACTGTGGCCGTGTCACTAATCTCTCATTTAAACCACCCACAACTAATGTCCTTGTGACATGGGCCCAGGCTTGGCGATTTACGTGGCCCATTGCCTTGGTACGGGTACACAAGTGAGGACTGGTGACGCTCACTGCATTGCCTAAACGTGACCACTGTTGGCATAAGGTGTCAGTGTGAGGTAATGCCAAGACAAAGCAGGGGTCATAAATCGGCTTGGATATAAGTGCCTGGAAATATTAAGACCTCTTGGCAGCAGCGCCGTGAGTCGGAGCTGCTGCATTAGCCCAGCTGCCTTTGTGCTAATCACAGGCTTGC